GTGTTGGTCAACAAAATTTGCAGGAGTGTTTGAAAGATCATTCCCAGCGACTGAATTATTATTTAAGGAACCTGAAGTCGTCTATTATTCCAGCATAATCCTTAAGACAGTAGTTACTGCTTAGGGCAGATGACAATGCGCAGATACATAAAAGATTAAAAGAGTTATAGTCCAAAACCTAGTGCAATACAGAATACATTAGTGTGACTGCCCCCAATTTCTCCTTCCATCTCATTCCCATAAACTCAAAACCTTATGAAAATCAAGACTTTAGGCTTGATATACTCTGTATCATCTGGAGATATTATAATTTATCTGTCTTTGTCACTTGTTTACTTAATTATGTATACTTCCTGTACTGCTTCTCCCAGAGTTCTAATCTTGAAAAAACTGTCTACACCCAATAAACAAATATGTACTTTATTCGGCGCTTATGAAGCACAGCTACCAATGTTTTCTTCAGACATATGGACAGTAGAGAATAAGAAAGAGACTCAAGAGCTATTCACACTTCATCACCAGTCACAATGACAGCTGTCACACACTTTTCACCGAGCCAGTAAAAATAATACATTAAGATCAAACCCACCAGGATTTCATCCATCCCTTGAACAAGACCTTCAGGGGAAGGGATGAGACGACTAACAGTGTGGTTTTGCTTTGAAAACCTCCTACCACAGTGCAAGTCATGTTCTTAAAGGATACAACAGACAAATGAGATCTGTAGCCGAGACTTGAGTCTCAAGTGTTTTCTGTATTAGATGATGACTGTAACTAATTTGGCTTTCTATCTAAGCTCCAGGACATTTGATTCGTAACAGGAATGCCTTCCTTTTGAAAAATAACTGGCCATTTTCTGAGCAGCTTCACTGAATTTGTAACTCTGATTGAGGCTTGACAACGTTGGTCTGACGAAAACTTTACTAAAAATATCCTAACAGAGCAATGCCAGAAGACTTACTACTTTGAAACAAAACAAAACAAAACAAAACAAACAAACGCAAAAAGCCAACCTGTTCCTGGGCACAAAAACTCAAGGCATCTAAACAGAGAGGTAACAGATCACTGGAAGGCTTTGAAACAACTTCAGAATTTTTACTAGAAAACAGTTAAAACAGACAGGAGAGTCCCCCACCACAGGCTGTTATAGGCAGTCCAGACCTCCAGCTCAGGCTTCTCTTAGCACATAACTCACCTTCCGCGTAACACAAGGTTTCTAGTACATTATGCAGAAAAGCCTAAAGATACAAATCACGTTTCAGCCATCACCTCCCAAACCCCAGCTGCACAGTCCTTTCCATTTTTTACACTAGCTCTGAAACTCTTGATTATGCAGCAAGCTGATTCAGCTTGTTAATTCAGAAGAAAAAATTTCACTTTTTTGAAATCAGTTTTCTACTGGTTTAACAGGCTAGATCATCTCAGTGCAGACTTGACAATAAAGTTAAATGCAAGGTAGGAATGTAAATCATTAGACTGGAAAGGAAGGAATACAAATTTCTCCTTCTCTTGTAACAACAGGAACCATGCTTAATTTTATCTTTAGGATTAAATGCCCCTGAGTACCTCATTAGCAGCATCCAGACAATACTGTGGTCCTGGGAAGAGAAAAGGCCCAGAATGTGTATCTGAACAGATTTAACTTCGACTGCTTTGCACAAAGCACTTCAAAGGGCTTCAAGAAAACAGGTTCCCAACTGCTGAAGACAAAATTTTAAGGTCTTATCATGGAAATTTTAAATAACAAAAGACAGGCCAGCACGAGGGAAAGAACTGTGGTCAGTGTTATAGGATTTCAGATTGTAACATCTTTCTTTGAGGCCATCATGATGGTTTTCAATTATTCACTGGATTCCTTTTCCAGAAGTGTCTCCTGTAAGCAGCTCCTTCACTAGCAGAAGTCAAGCGAAAAATGTCACTTCAAAAGACAAAGTTGCACTACAAATCACCCAGGTAAACTGAAGGGGGTTAAAACACAATCTAACCTACTACCACTAACTCACACCTTAAGAGCTCCTATGGAGTATTATACTAAAGAGACTGTGGACACAGGCTTATAAATCTGATCTCTACACTGATACACATTGCACGATCAATTGGATTTTACATTTATTTTTTGTTTCATAAATACAAAAATTAATATCTGAATGAAACCTACATGGGTTTCTAAGGAAGTCACTTCATGAAAGCAGTTACTTTGGAACTACAGTGTTACTGAAATGCTCTTCCTTTGTAATTTAAAAAAACTTCACTTTAAGTAACTCCAGAGAGAATTTGTTACAGTGAATCAACTGTTCAAAATCCCTCAGACACTATTTTAAAAAGTACATAAAATCTAGAGGAAAAGAATATGGCAAGTGAAGATTTTCCTGCATTGCTATTATCTGTAAAATGAAATAAAAGCAGAGGTTAAGTATTTTCAAAATTTTTTCAAAATTTCTGAATTATATTTCAATACAGTAAAAGGCAGCTCGTGATATTTCTACTCTTGCGTTTCATAAAGGTATTGTAAAGCCTGACGATTTGTAAAGTTAGTAGTAATCCTCAAAACAACAGGTCAACAAGTACCTGGCACATGAACTAAATCCAAAGTCTCTCTTCCCATGCTGCTGTGTGACTGCAGCTGAAGATGGAATATCACTAAGGCAGCTTAATTCCCCTTATCCAGTTCAACACCTAATTATTCAGGTACCACTGTGTATTAGAGCAAATCCAAACAGGATTGGGTGATATGGATTAAAAGTAACTGGTTTTAAAAGAAAGTTCATTCAACCTACTATTTAGAATGATCAGGATTTGTGAGCATGGAAACACAACATAATGCTCAACTGCTTTGCCAGATGAGGCAAAAACTACACTGGCTTCTCCCAAAGCTAGAAGTTATATAGTTACACTATTGTAAACCTTTTAATAACAACAGGACATGTTCTAAGAAACATGAGAGCCACAGGTAGTTTTCTTTTTCCCCTTCTGTTTTTAAGACATCATTTATTTTGATAAATATTTACATATTAAAAAAAACTACCAAGAACAGGACTGCAAAGTCCTATTACCAATTATATTTAAACTTCTCCTGGCAGACACTTGTTTACTCTACTCTTTAATATGTAATTACTGACATGGAAACTCTATGGTCTCCTTAAACTGTACCTTTAAAACCTAAGATGTGAACTATAGTTTGTCAGACTTTCAAAGAAAGTAGTAAATAAAAATTAAACATCCAGAGCAACCTTCATAACACATGATATATGAATCTTAAAAACTTATTTTTTCATAAAAATATGCGGTTTAGGTATAAAGTGCTTTGCTTTTTACAACACAGAAGACATCATCTCTTGAACAAAAAATTGTACAAAACTGAAAGTGATTATCGGTATGAGGCAGAGGTTTAATTCAACAGTCCTGATATATGCTAACAAAGTAATAGAAACTCTCCTCCCACCACTGCAAGCAAACAAGAACCCTGCATCTGAAACTTTCTATTTAATATTTGAAGCGTTCGTCATACAGCCAAAGAACAATAAGGAACTATTTGATCATCTGTAAGAAACGAAAGCATTACATCTTAGTGATTTTTTTTTTTTTTAAATAAGCTATTTTCTTCAGTTGTTACAAGAGATACCCTCTGGAGAAAGAGGAAATACCTCGCTGTTATCCCAATTCCTCCCCTGATACGCATCACAGCATTTTAGAATGACTGACAGCTTTGTCTCAAGAGTAGCTGAACGTAAGGAACAGTGCTTCTGCACTCCACCATGAAAAGGTCCACACGTATTTCCAGTCAAGGGTAGTAATCTATTTTAAAACAAGAATTTATTGTGTTATAGTATAAAGACACTAAACACAAAACAAAGTGTTTAACAACATGAATATTGACACAAAATAAAAGCAAGATAGTTTCAAGCCAACTCCGTAACCATTTCATGTGAGAAATTCCAAGTGAAAGAAAGTTACATACACAAGGTCACCCTAGGAAAAGGATGGCACCTTCAATTAATTCAAGCCCTATTTCAGGACATCATAGCATTGTCAGAATAGTTGCATTATTTTGAGGGCTTGAGTGGTATATAGGCTTTGCCTTGGCCCTCTATATATACGCGAACTTACCCACAGATCTACAAGAGAACCAATGGAGGCATTTCTACTGTAAACTAAAAGACCTGAGGTACATTCTTTTCTAATCTACCTTGCACTTTTTTGATCTAAGTATATTATAGGGGGCGGGAGTTTATTAAAGAGCAGCATAAATTTGGTTATTTAACTTCACTATAGTCCATGTGATAGCACAGGTCAATAAAACGTATAATGTTTTGCACTACAACACCCATCTTTGACAAAATACAATACAGTATGTCATAAAGCTTCTATGAAACCATGTATTGTAGTTTCACAAGCTACTATATAAAAAGATAACTGAATCTGAGATGTACTTGAGCCATTTCTACAGACATTACCTGGTGTCACATTAAGGTCTCTTTCCCGTAGACTGTTTTGATAGGATCCATTATGTGAACCGTCCATACATTAATTTCTCAAAGATGCATCAATTGTTTCAATTAATACAGAGCAGTTAACATGAATATACAGATTAAGTATAAGATTACTGCTCTTCCATATGAAATGTTTCCAAAAATAACCAGTTTGATGAACTCACAACAATAATATTTTGCTAAACAAAAAGTTGGAGCATAAGTATTTCATTTGTTTAAAACTACTTTTTTTTGGCTTCTAAAATGAACTGAATTCTATGTTTCAAAGGCTCATTGTGAAAATATATACACACATCAAATTCATATCCAAAGCTAGATTTTACCATTGAGTTTTAAAGGCCAAGAGATATTTTCAGTACAGTAGAAAAAAAATAGCAGTTCCTGAAGTTTATTGTAGCCTCACTTCACTGCCAGCATCTATAGTCCTGTTGCTGTACAAAATACTCCTCTGAAGCAAATCCATCTGAACTCTATCCACCCTGAGTTTAGCATCTATACTTTTTTTTAAAATGTTTTAAACAATAGGTAACAGAGAAGTATGTACAAGGCTATAAAACATGTCAGTTATCATACAGCAGATTAAAAAAAAAAATCAGTCTTTTCAGCCAATTTTCTGTTACTGTAGTAATTCATTCTGGATTGGGTTTAGGGGTTTTTTTTGCTTTTGTTTGTTTTTACATCAAGTAGCTACTTGATTTAGACATTCATGCATTAATTGCTTGAATTTCTTTTTGAGTGCAACAATAAGGCAACAGTAAAAAAAATTATAGAAATTTTGCATATGTGTAAAGGTATTAAGTTTATAAAAGTGCTTCCTAAAAAGACAACCTAATTGCAGTATCAAAATATTACAGAGTGCTGAGAACAACTATCATTTCAATAAATGTTGCTCCACAGAAAAATGTCTGATTTTAGGCTTTTTCCCCTTTTTTTGTGAAGTAAAAGCCCGGAAAAATTGCCATGGCTGCATGGGACAAGCAAGTTAAGAAAATATACTTTAGTCTAAACTTAAATAAGAAGGTCCACACTTTTTTGTGAAAACTTTAAGCCTCTGTCAAAAATGTATTTTTTTTTTCTTTTTATAGTACAGGATTAAAAGACAAGATGATGCTTACAAGATAAAGAAATAATTTACATGAAAATATCTTCTGACAAAGCTTTTCAATCAAAATATTGTTTTGTAACATTCAAACATGACATACAACACAAAAGAAACAGTGAATGCAAACAAAAAATGTTATATGGATTGCTTTTGAACACATAAATAAATGAAATATTGGTGTAGGCAGTAGGGCTCATGCTGATGGCTAGCAGGAAATAACAGTGTGCAATCTATTTGGAAAAAGCTCTAAAGTACAAATTACAAGCCCAATTACGGACTGCAGCAAGTTCAGTTATATCACTGCCATCCTCTATCTCCAAAATAAATTCTTGTTTAAATCACTCATACCCTAAATTACTCATACCTTTGCTTCAGAGATATGAATAACTATATACAAAAAGTAGTTTTATTTCACCATAGGGATAACATTGTACCTCTCTGCCAATGTCACTTGAAAAGCCGCCCATGTCAAAACAATTTGACAGCAGATAAACAATTCAATAAATATGTAATGATCTTATTACAGTCCTTCAGCTAGGCATGTTAACTCATGCTGCTAGTTTTGTGGTCACAGTGCATAGAATCCGAATATAAAAGAATGGGCTGGATTTAAGGTAATTGTCAATCCCTTGCTTATAATCCAAATATATCCAAAACTTTCGTAAGCTCTGTCATGCGTCAATCTTTTTTGTGGCAGGAGCAAAACCTTTCCCTGGTACAATGTCCATTGCCGGCAATGGATGCACCAAAACCGCCAAGGAGCTCAGTGTTATTGCACAATATATGAAGACCTGGAATTCTTCCAAAAGCTTAAAATAAAAATAATGGAATTATTCTGACATTTCTGGACACCTGCATTAATACTGTATGACTAATAAAAGCATGTCAGTTGCATGGACTGAACCAGCGATCAACATGCGCCCAGAATGCACACTAGTAAAAATGCAGTCAAAGGAAGTAGTCTTCATTGCCTATAGGTCACTTCCAGTCAAAGGTTAAAGTTCAAAGACTGAATGATCAAAGTGCTCATTTTCTCAGTAGGACTATCTTCTGCTACGAGGATCACAAAATGGTGGCATCAACATGTGTCATCTTTAAAATAAAAGAAGAGCATTTATGGAAAACATATAAACATTCTAATTCTAAATTAGTAAGGTGCTATACGCAGAAACAATTCCTAGTATAGACAGTAACATGCAGAGGAAATACAGGAAATACACTGATTGAATAATTCTATCGTTTTGTTCAATACTGACACAGGGGGAAAAAGAGATTATCAAAAATTAAACTTCTGAAATACACATCCACCACCAAAGATATTAGCATTAGCAAATATTCTATTAAAAGGACAGTCATTTCTACGCTCAGTATTTAGAAAGCCACTTGCCCAGAAAATGAAAAATCAAATATTCTTAACATTTTGCATCCTTGAAGTACAGCAGGTCCACACCAGTTATCGAATTGGGACATCCTTTTGTAAGGAATATATAGGGATAAGAGCAGGCAGAGTGGGCTGCTTCTGATGTATGCTCAATCCTTTAAACATATATATCTATCTATATATTTATACACATGTATATTCATTTATTTCTCAAGATTCAACACAAAACTATAGCTGACAGAGTTATGCAACAATAGTAGGTTGCTACTATAATCCTAACATCTTAAACCTAAAAATAACTGACATATGCTACATTTCAGATACTGTGATTGGACAGAACATATTTCAAAAATGTGTATTCTATGCAAATCTTTTCTGGATTATGCTCCATATTAAATATTTGTCTGTGAATGCTCTCCCTTTTAAACGTTCTCCTTCACATATCAACCTGCAGTATATTTGTACCTGCTAACAGTAAATACTGAGTTGTTAACAGAAAGCAAACTTACTGTCTGCTTATTTTTAAAGCACTTGTAACCTCGCACACCTAAAAAATGTGGCCTTATAAACATTCTACATTCTCACGGGAAAACATTATGTCGTCAATATTATTACTTGTAAAAAACCTTTTCAATTTTATAGTAGGCTACTGTACATGTAAAAAAAAAAAAAGGACAAGGATGCAACAGAGAGAATGGGTATTTAAATGGTGCACTAAAATTTTAGGACAAATACCAGAGAAAACACTTTCCACTTAAGAAAAAACAAAAACCAAACAAAGCCCCCAGCCCAAAAGAAGTAACAAGTGCTAGATGAAAATAAACACCACTGCCCCTTTTTTCCACCAAAAAAAAAAAAAATCTACCTCCTGACAAGACCAAAGCCAGGCAACAGCTTTATGAAACTAATTTCAGTCTAGATGCCCAAGTAAACTTTATCTGGAAGATCCTTCTCTGTCTTTAACACAACATGGGCACCTCTCAGATTGAAACTCAACATGAAAGTCAATGTACAGTTGAAACAGACATTGGGTAGGGCAGACAATCCAGAAATACTTTCAGTTATCAAAGATCAGGGCTTTAAACAGGGCTTCTGAGGACATCATTTTGGAGCAAATAGGGCTCCATGACTCTGTGGAATAAGTTGCTGTGTTGAAGCAGGGATGAAATGAGAGATTAAAAAAACTCTGTAACAAGCTAAATGCAGACACATATTTACATGTCAGAATATGTCTCAAAGTGCCACTTTATCACTTTGTGTTCATATGGGTTTGCTTTACATCAGGTCCCAACCATGCACTATTTTGCTCCCATGTAAATAAATTCTGGGCACCTACTGGAAAAAAATATTTTCCTTCAAATGCATGTATTAATACAGATGACAGATTTCTTCCTATCTCTTCAAAACACAGGGATCCAATATCACACTGAAGCTAAAGCAGTACAATGGCTAGCTGATAGCAGAAGGGGCAGAACCACTTTGCATCTCGCTCCATATGTTCTTATATTAGCACTAGCATTTAATTTCATCCAGTGGTTACCCTTGAACAGCTGGTTTTCTTTCTCAGGTGGGATTGTTTTTTCTCTCCTCATTTACCCAGCCAAATGTGGTTCAACCACAAGATTAGATAAGTGACATTTCAGTTGAAGCGTGAGCAGAAAATAAAGATGACAGAAGCACCTTTTCACACTTCCCATTTTAGTGTAACCCAGCAGTTCTTCAAACCCGTTAAGAAAACATTGACAATTTAAAGATCATGCCTTGGCAGTCTTGTTCTATGTCTACATAGGAGAAAAAAAATTACTTGTAACTGAGAGAAGAAGCAAATGACACACAAAACTCAAAGGGAAAACACTCGAGCATTTATGAAACTTTTGTCCAGTGGACACCAGGTATGTGTAATTTTTTCATGTAAGAATTTAAGGCGGGGAGGAGCCCAATGAACTTTTAATCAGGAAGCAAGACAGTATGGGTTATTTAAATGAACTGACTTGCTTTCTCTTGCCTCAGGTTGGTTTTTAGGTTGCTCTGAATTTGAGGAAGGGCAGGGTTTTCTAACATTCAGAAAAAAGCCATTGCATAGTAACTTCATAGAGATTAAATTACTCATTCAGTGAACTATAAGCACCTTGATGGTTTTGAGCCACAATAATACCACAACCTTCAGAGTCAGAGAAACCACATTTCTTTTCATGCTGATTTGTTGTTTTGCTTGTTTAATGCAAATTGAATTTCATGATTAAGAAATCAAAGTAATATCTGCAGACTGTTCTCCTTTTATGGAGTTCTATTCTAAATCCATATGAGACTAGTACAAATTAAAAGTAGACAGAATGTATTTTAATCACAAGATATAACCAATAAATGGAACTTCACTTGTTTCTTTTTAAAAATAACTAGTAAGTCAAAATAAAAAGTTAACAAAAACTTTCCCAAAACTAAAAATGGAGAAGCACCAAAGGCATTACAAGAGTGTGAAAACAGAGAGAGAAGAGAAAGTGACTGCTGTACAGTCTGGTGAAGATGAAAGTCCCATCCTTGTGGGCAATATGATTATTATTCTTAGAGTCAATTTTAAAAACAACCACATGATAAACAGTCCCAAGTTTCTCAAAGACATCTTAATCCCATGGCATACAGCACTTCTCTTAATGTACCTGAAGTCACCTTATTTTAGAGATACTATTAAAGTATTATGAGAAACAGAGTTTCATTCTGTTACATTACCATATATGAAAACCCCGTGGTCTTGGCAAGTATTATGAAACACTCAAGTTTTTTTTGTTAAGGCATTCATGGGGTTTTAACAATCTTAAGAATTTCAGGGGTGAAGGCTTTGGCATTTGCCTCTCCAGTCATGAACTTTCACTGTCTCAAAAAACCTGTTCTCATTTCACTTAGGGGACAGAACATGTCCCAGGGTGGGGAGGCAGTGAAAAACAGAAGATGTCTTATGATGGAGCCTTCAATGAAAGGCAGTGATGGAATCAGCTCTCCTGCACTATGCTAGCATAGTATTACCTGCTCTAATACATCCCTTCCCAAAATACTGGGGCTCCCGATAACTACCATTTGTACAGAATTTTCCTAGAGAAAATAAAGAAAGCATTGCTTAGAAGAGAAACAAAGCACAGCCCATCTCTACCCCCTCCTTCTCTCTTTTCTCACCAATGGAGTGGACAAGACAAGCACATACAGCCAAGTGCAGCTCTGGGTAGAGGATGACAAAAACTGAGGCAGAAGAAAGAAATCACACCGTATAAAGCAAGACAGAGAACACATGCAAAAAACCCCAAGAAACACAAAACAAAATAAAAAAGCAAACTCCCAAATCAAAACCAAACAAAGAAAAAAACCCCAACACAACACTAGTACTGCAGACACTGTAGCAATTTTAGTTATGGTTGGGGTTTTTTTCTTTATCGTTTACATGGAGAATCTTATTACTATATTATTGAGTATTAGTTTTTAGGAGCCTTTAAAGTCAGCCAACTGTCCCATACTGGAAATTCTGATTAAGAGTGGAAATCTATTACAAAACACAGCTGCTTACAAATATATAGGTATCTTTTCAACACCATAAAAGCTCTTAAAGTGTTAATAACAACAACAAAAAAAATGGGTTTAGAGCTAAACTTTGTTTCAGTATGTCCCTTCCCCAATCCCAAACTTGTCATGGACTAATGCGGTTTACAAAAACTTTCATTCAAACTCTATCCTACAATTTAAAACATATGAGTTTACATTTTCACCAGGAATTATTAAAATGAGATATAAAAAAAAAAAAACAGAAACAGGATTTTAATAACTCTCTGAAATTAAAAAGAGTTTTAATGCTTTGAACACATTTATCCTACTTTCCTACATTTTAATTGCCTTCAGCCTAAAAAGAACTTAAAAATTCCCGGTCCTAGTTAAATACTTACCATGATACCACCATTTTGTTTTCTTTGGATTCTTGTTACATGTTCTTACATAAAATGAGTTATCTGGAGGTCGCCTCTGCAACAGAAGAAAAGACCTACAAATAATCAAACAATCCTCATATTGTAATACACGAGCTATTTAATAAGCTTTTGAAAGGCTACCATGTGAATGCAGTGAAAATGACATAACAGGCAGGACTAGACCTTTGTCAAGAAAAATCTCTTAAAGATCCAGGTAACAAATGCTTCGTGGAGATACTCCAAGAAAAACATTAATGAAAAATACCAAAGAGTTTGGCAATAAATAGAGAGAGAAATAAAAATAAAGAAAAAAAATAAAAGAAAACAACCCAAAAGAAAGAAATGGCTGTTGTTCAAAAAATCCCCAAACTAAATTCCTTTGCAGTTTGAAATCTAATTCTCATGTATTAGATCCAATTCACATCCATAAGGTTCAGCTTGGAGTGGGTGAAAAAACCAAACCTTAACATCTATATCTAAATCCTTACTTCATATTCTTCAGTTTTCTTCGTAAGTGTCATCATTATACAAAACAAGTCATAGGATAGAATACAATATAAAGCCATTTTGGAGTGTTTTTTCAACTACATGCACATGACTAGGACTGACTGGGATGCAACATAAATAGGCATGTTTAGATAGCACACATGGACAAGCTCTGACCACATCTAACTTCCACAGATAGCCCACTGCGAAAGAAATGGTCAAGAGGTCTAAGGTATTAGTGTCATCAGAAAAAAGGCAAAATGAAAATTATCAAGATCACTGAAATAGCACAGATGCAAAGCCTTAGAAACATCTGCACTAAAGACATTTCAATTCATTTTGCACCCTCTTTAGAGACAGGATAATTTTACACAGAATTGTCCTAAAACGTGATTGAACTTCAGTAAGGAGAACTAGATGGGTTCCATTTGTTCCTCTTTTCCAATATGTAAGCAGGTTACCATGAAAACAGTGACAAAGTATTTACTGCACTGTTTATTTTGAACTTCTAGCTTAGTATTTTTTCAGTAGTAGAAATATAGATATAGTAGTTTTGCCTATTTTAGAATCTGAGAAATGAAAATTTCACTTTGCAAAGTAGAAAACTATTAACTTTTACTTTTTCTACTACAACAGTGCTGAAAAAGCCCATACCTTTTCTTTGCAGCTGGAAAGCATGCTAATAATGCTAAGACAAACAGATTGCACTGAGAGAGCTGGAGACCAGTCTTCCGTTAGAATGGATAAACAGATATGACCATTGCTATAAACATGAGGATGAACAGGAATATTGTCTCCAGTAAACATGACCTAAAAAAAAAGAACAAAAATACCTGAGACTTATAGTCCACATTTTAAATAAAACTGTATTGTTTTTAGGAAAACAATATAATCTTATTTAAGGAGCAGGTCTAAATAATACACTTTATCACATTAGGTTTATTCACTTTTGGAAACTATTAAATGAAATGTAAAATAAACAGTGGAAGCCTAAATAGCTAGTGATGATGGAGTTGAATAAATGATATAGAAGATTTCCTATGAATACTTATACAGCATAGAAAAACTCAAAGGTAACTATGTAAAACCAATGAACTAAACCTTTTATATCTTGCAGCCTCAGTCTTTTGTGTCCTAAGGAATACAGCTGCCTAGCCAAAATACTGGATTTTAATGATTTTATAAGTCACAATGTTGTACATCAAGAAGCACAAGGAAGAATCACAAATGAGCATTTCTATAATCTTGGACACAACAGAAATTAAGTTCTTGCTAACTCATCCAGGTTCCAGCATCAAGAGTAAAATTAAAATGCATCCATCTTATCAACTATAAAATAAAGGACTTGTGAAACTAAAGTTTGTTACCAAATAGGAAATACTTTTAAATTTTTACTTCAAATGGAATATATTTTTATTTGATGTGGATGAACATGGAAGAACAGCATTTAGAACCTTAACTCCTCTCTACTACAGGAAGTATCACAGTCAAAAAAAGGTTAGAAAAGCAATTTTGACAACTATTGCTCTTACATCAAGATTTTGTCGAACACATTGTTCATTCAGGACCAAGGGAAATAGAGTAAAAGTGAGATCTTCAAAGCAGTATTAAACTCCTGAACATCTTTTCCAGCGTAACCACTGTCATCTTTTAGGCAAAGACAAAATAAATCTCTACCACTCATAACATAATACCCAGCAGTCTCTTAAGTGTTTCTTAAGTTATATAGATACGTGTACAAGTATGCAAACAGGTACACAACACACCCACCTCATCACTGACAACAAGACAGAAGCAACACCCTCATCATATAGGAAACAGAAATCAGAGAGCTTAATTTATCTGCCAAATAGAAGACATGTTTCTAAGGCAGAAGAAAAACTGGATTTAGAATAATCTTTCATAGGTCTTTTAACCTCTTACTTAAGCCTTGAAGAGCTTACCTTCACTTGTAACTAATATCTTCCTTTTACATGAAAACCAGAATTAGGCATACTAGGTAAGTAAAAGCATGCATGCTGTGATAGACACATACATTTAAAAGCAGAAAACAACCAAGTGATTAAGCAGCAGAAGTGTAAACTGTCAAGTCACAGTAAGTAGATTTGCCAGAGAGGTAATTATGACCCAGAGGTTCATAGCACAGAATGACCTTACTGCACAGCAGTATTTTAAAAAGTGAAATTCTAGCCATCTACAACAATCAAATATCCAGTACTTAAATTTCTAATTGTTTTCTGTGCTAAAATTCAGTGTAGATGTATGGATCTAATTTGATGCTTAACAATAAATTGCACAGAGCCACACACACAGCTTGGGTAATGAATACAAACAGTACCTACTTGGAATCAAATTAAAGTGGCTACTCTCTTGTGGATCACCTATGAGTAGTTCACTGCAAACCTGATGAGGTGCAGAAGTACAGGTGGCCAGTTTGTTCTTTGAAACCTAAGACTGAAAAGTCAGCATCCTAGTTTTTATCACGGTACCCAAAAATATTTAATGTTTATGGTTTAAGTGTCTCTCACAGCTCCATGCTTCAGTTTTACAACGAATAAGAGAAGTTGCAGAGCTCACTCTTAGAACTTTGAGCTGAAACAGACAGGACAAGAACTGAGGTTCTCTTCCTTTTCTCCTTCCTTTTTTAGAAAAGAAGGGGTGACTACTCTTACCAGCCTTGTTTTGAAACATTTCCCTCAGGTGACAGAGGGATGGATGTACACAGCACATTCTGCAGTCTCTAAGTACTGCTGTCCCTTCAGTTTAGGCTGTCATGAAAGCAACGCAGCATCTCATACCTCAATTACCAAACTATTTGCAGGCCTCTCAAACATGTCATGTATCTATGAGAATCCCTATCAGAAGCACAGTATTTCTTCAGCTATATTAATAATGACAGCAGAGACGATGCGATAGTCTTAAAAACAAACTAGAAAAAAATATGTTGAAAGCAAGAAGAGATGGGAAAAAGCAGCAATTTGTGGTTTACCTGGCTCCTACATCGCAATAAAGGGGATCTTCCTATTTACTCTGTGTTTGTCTCTCACATGATACAGATATCAACCTCAGAGAAGCCTCCAGATTACACTACTTTCATCTCCTATGAAATCAGGTAGACTGTCAAAGCATTGTACCTCGCTGCAGAATCGTTTTTAAAAGAAAAGGCATCTGCGCAATGTATTTAATACAAATTAAAGTAATTAAACCTCACATCAGGATATGTGGATGATATAACACTGAGCACGTGTCATACAGATATAATATACAGATATAATCCAAAGGTAATGTTAAGCAAGGAAGAAGGCAGCAGTTACCTGAGGCGAATCAAAAGGATACCGACTACTAAACTTAAATAAAAGCTGAAATTTCTCCCCTTCATATAGTGTTCCTGGAGCACCTTCCATGTCTACAATCCACCTAAGGAACAGGGAAAAAAGATGTTAGTACTGTGGACTGACAAACTGTGGTTTTATTCCTGGAGCACAGGACAAACCAAATCAACTACAAATCAGAGCCAAACCTTCTAAATTCGTTATTAACATTGTAACAGTCACAAAGGTGAGCAATGCATCAAGTCTACATTTGAAGGAAACAAGCTTGGTATTTTACATACAGGCATTGATATAGTGCTGCAAATTATAAATATGACTTGAACTCAACACAGATCCATCAGTTGAAATAAAAAACCTGTTTGAAAGCTTATTCCTACATAAAAACAGGCTTGGAAGGAAACAAACTAGTACACGTTCTCTTTCATATTGTTTTCTTTCCTTTTCTGTCATGGAAAACATCAGCGCAGTTTATTAAAACAAAATCTGTATCCAAGGGGAAAGCACAAAGCTCGTCTTGTACTTTTATCTGTGAAAAGCTCAGAAATTCAATAGTACCTGGCAGGTAATGAACCAAAACTGGAAAAGCTAATAGTATAAAAATGAAAAGATCCCAGAAAATTAAAAGCAAAACAAAACAAAAAAAAGAATTATTTGCAACTGTAATAGAGATAATACCTCAGCATATCATACTATTCTTTTTCCTCTGTTTCTGGTCCTTCCATCATAATAACATGAAAGTAACTGATAGGTGGAGTTGCCAGGGGAAGAGAATCATAGAATCATAGAGTCAGCTGGGTTGGAAGGGACCTCTGAGATGATCAAGTCCAACCCTTGATCCACTACCGCTGCGGTTGCTAGACCATGGCACTAAGTGTCACATCCAGTCTTATCTTAAAAACCTCCAGGGACGGAGAATCCACCACTTCCCTGGGCAGCCCATTCCAATGGCTGATTACCCTCACTGTAAAGAAATTCTTCCTAATATCTAACCTAAACCTCCCCTGGCACAACTTGAGACCATGCCCTCTTGTCTTGCTGGTAGTTGCCTGGGAAAAGAGACCAACCCCCACCTGGCTACAACCTCCTTTCAGGTAGCTGGAGAGAGGGATGAGGTCTCCCCTGAGCCTCCTCTTCTCCAGGCTGAACAGCCCCAGCTCCCTCAGCCTCTCCTCATAGGACTTGTGCTTGAGTCCCTTCACCAGCCTCGTTGCTCTCCTCTGGACCTGCTCCAGCACCTCAATATCCTTCCTGAACTGAGGGGCCCAGAACTGGACACAGCACTCAAAGTGTGACCTCACCAATGCTGAGTACAGGGGAAGAATCACTTCCCTGGACCCACTGGCCACACTGTTCCTGATACAGGCCAGGATGCCATTGGCCTTCTTGGCCACCTGGTCACACTGCTGGCTCATGTTCAGCTTCCTATCAATCCAAACTCCCAGGTCCCTTTCTGCCTGGCAGCTCTCCAGCCACTCTGTCCCCAGCCTGTAGCGCTGCAGGGGGTTGTTGTGGCCAAAGTGCAGGACCCGGCACTTGGCCTTGTTGAACCTCATCCCGTTGGAATGAGAAGGTGGTGCTCCGTGTAGGGTTTTTATTGTGTCTGGGTTTGGGTTGTGTTGTGGTTTTTTTAATCCAGTTAAAAATAGATGCTTTGAATATTGTTCAACACATTCAGCAACATTCTGCTAACTTCTGTCATTTTACAGAGTTCTACCGTTGATCCTTTGCAGCATCATTTTCTCATTTTCATTTTTCACCCTTGATTGAGTTTTACAGATTTGAGCAACGTGATAAGGTAAAAATTCAGCAAGAGACTACAAAAATGGTCAGACAAGTTTTACATCGACTCAAGGAAGGCAGCTGAGATTTTGCAGAACAGCAATGTGCTCAGAAAAGTTGACATCTCCAGCTGGCAGCCCTGATGATCATATTCCCAACCTCTTCATCCTCCTGTCATATATACCCTCCCTGTGTATTTAAATCATGCACATTTTTTATCTTCCCCTCTATTATTCTTTGGGCTTCAGGAGATTTTTTTGAGAAAAACTGCTTATCTAATGAACTGCTAGCTGTCACACTCTTCAAGAGGAATGCAACTTCAACAGTAGCACAGTGATGGCTGTCATATATTCTATATTTTTATTTTGTGAAGACGCCTTCAATTTAATCTATCTGCACTCCAAACCACTTATCTCTTCTTATGCTTTCTGTTTTTACATTTATACACATGGTGCACCAATAGTCTTTAGATTTACTGCTGCTTGTGATCCAGAAAACTTCCACTTTCAAGTTTTTAAAATAGTTTACTTTACTAAGTAGAATATAACTCTGCCTGGACATTACTCCTTTTCTTTTATGGTCAAGGAATCACTAGAACCCATCTTTCCTGTGTGCTTTACGGTTTAGCCTTCTCAAATTTCTAATCCTTGTGTATTTAAAATAGAAGTTTGCTTAACATTTTAAATGACCCAGTTACATCATGGGATCCAATTATTTTGTTCAACATCTTTAAAACCCAAACAAGTATTGCTCCACAAATTTTTACTGCACCAGTTCAAACTGCAACTTCATTAATGAACTCAGAACATGCTAGCTGACACAAAAAACCTTCAAAGAGAAAAAAATAGAATGTTACTTGTGACAGGAAGCTTCTAAAACAGGGACAGTTTCAAAATCTAGCATGACAGTAATCAGGAAGCTTTTAGTGTGCAAGGAATTGAAAGGTATAAAAAATGTACATGACAGAAATAATAATGAGACATACTAAGAAAAATCAACAAACAGGAAAAAAATAGATTTTTTTTTCCTTTTCCATCTGCTGTGAACTTTGATTTAATGGTCATTTTCTGTTGAAGTGAGTGAAAAACACTTGCAATATTAGATTGAGTCCTTTTTGCAGAAAATTTGAAAACCCGAAGTAGAGCAAGAAACACAAGCTGCAATTCAGCAATTCTACAAGAGTTTATTAATATTTCTACCAAACTCTGGGAACTGCTATTTCGATTTTTTTTTTAGTCTTACTCATCTACATGAAGTACCACAAAGACCAGCATCACTTAAGAAGCAATACGAGTGTTTGATTCAGTATATACAAGGTTTAGAAAAGCCTCATGTAACACAGTCTGAATGATGCCAGCAAAAATGCAGATGTGAAACATCAGAATTCAGTTCTATGCTGTTTTTAAATTGATCCATCAATCAGTAACTGAGTCCAGAACATACAGCCTGATATCTACACTCTCATTAATGTTTACATCTGCTAAATTTTAAAAATTTGTCCAAAATTAAGCTAAGAAAATTATGAAAAAGGAATGTTAACAGTCTAAATCTTTTAAATTTCAGTCAGGTAAAAAAATCAGTTCAGTTCCAAGAACAACTTCTGTCCATTTCAATGGACACAGAATATTTTACCATGTTTCTCTTCCCGTTTCACTAATCATAAAAAAAGATAAGGTAGGGAGAAAAGCACAAACAAGTGTACCCAGACAACTTTGCTTTATAAGAACTTTCCTTCACTTGCTTTAGAGAAAGAAGGTAATGTAAATTAACAGCTATGACATACATTCTATACAAATAACACAGAACTTGAAGACAGCTACTCCATTATGTCAATAAATCTAAAGGGGTTTCAGAGGTTAGTAGCTATGAAAGACTGTTAAATTATTTTATTCTAAAATATGCAGGGGCTTTTACCAATTGACAGTTTGTTAGACAATAAAAAGCCAAATAAAAATTTAATAATCACTATCCAGTTCCTGAAAGTGTCCCAACACATTACTGCAATATGCTTATTAAGGAGAGCAACGTTTCATTGTCTAGACTGAAAGCAAAAATTTGTGATACTTGGAATTGGTGGAAGTGACATAAAGAGAACTTCCCTTACTTACATTTTCAGCATAGCAGAAATAAGATATGTACTTACTGTGTAATTGAATTTTGTACACTCTTTTCATCTAGAGTCATTCCCGGAGGTGGATCATTTTGAAATGCCAATAGTTCTTTCTGTAACCGTTTCTATAAAGAAATTGCATAGAATAACTTAAATACTAAATTAAATTCAACAATAAACATGCACACTAAAGTATATTTCACCAATTATTAAAAGATAAAAGGAGTCTTATTTGAAAATTTAAAAACAAAGTGAAATTGAAAGGTGAGCAAAAAGGAAGACTCCTCTCCTAGAAATTTAACTGAAAAGTCACAGGCAAAAAAGGTCACAGGCTTTAAACTTACTTTTTGGTTAAAATGCAGTGGCATTTACATTTGCAACACTGCAACGTGAAGATCTGTTTCATGACAAACTACACAGATGTATTAATTATTTTGTCATATTAAAAAGATGTCTATGAGAGCTCTACACCTAGCAGAGAATATTTCACATTCCCACGATAGCATGAGAATTATAATTAATTCTACAAGATTTTAACAGCACAACTCTCCCTCCTCTATGTAATTTAAGACACTTCTATCTGGCATATGTGCAAGCCAGAGGACAGAACAGAAACCAAAACAAGACTGGGTGAATTGCAGAACACAAACTATTTAACAACTGTATAGTAACTGCACGTTAGAACCTACAGAGTCATAGTACGTAGAAAAGAGTTATACTGGTGACTCAGGTAATTCTTACCTATTTTGATAGGGATAAATCAATTGCTAACTGCAACCAGCTGCTTCACTAACAACTATAAGCACTGTTTCTTACAATCTATGGAGCAAGGGAAATACAACCTCTGTGAAGTGCTGCCATTGGCACTGCTTTCGGAGTGTATTTTCTCCACATAAACAGTTATGCAATACGTTTTGTCATTTCCAAGCCATGTAGATGACAAAAAGTTCAAGGCTCTCTCATTTCCTACTTTCCTTTTTCCTATCAATCATTTTAAGGTTTACCACCTGCAAGTGCACTTCGATCACCCTACTAGTGAATATGATCTTACACTCAAAAGGAATAAAAATACATGGTTTGGGGGTTTAGCATCTCATTTCCATTCAATATCCAATTTTTTTTTAAATATAGGTTTATCACGCATTTGTAGATGTTTTCCAAACAACTCTTCCAGAACTTAAAAAAATCCATAGGTGAAAATAAAGTGTTGATTGGTAAACTTAGAAATGATGCAGTATCTTATCAATATTTTTGAAACTGGACTACAATAAATTCAGCCACACAATTCACAAAGAAAAGGCCCCCACAGATTAACAATTTACATTCTGAAAAATACTGAAATAATTTTCTATCTCTATTAAGCAGCCCTGAAAACTTGCTTTGGGCTTCTATTTTGAAAGTTTCCCCTACCTTGAACGTAGATACAATATAAACGAACTGAAAACCCAATGCTAGCATTTCCATACGAAAGCTACATACATTGCTAACACACTGAAAAACAGATTAGAACACTAGTGTTTATCTTTTGCTTTCTGCACAATTCAAGAAAATACTAACAGTGTTTTTGACACCAACTATGATGAACTAAAATGCAAAGGAGCAAGGTTACAAAACCATTTTACGAATCCTTAATTTGAATGGCAGATACTCATTTTTAAGTCAATTCTCTTTCTGGCACTTCCCCAGACCACCATCAAATAAACCTCAATGGCAGTCAACTTGTGTATGCTTTGTCATATAGAGAAAGATTTTAAAAGTTCAGAAATGAGAACTTTATACAATAAGGGAAATTCAAACTCCCTTAAAAAGGAGATTTAGTTGAAAAATAGTAAGGAACAGCAAATAATTCAGTAGATCCATTTACTTATCCTTGTAGACTAACTATACAAGATCTTTATAAAATGGAGCCTAAAATCCATTTGAGAATTGAATTAAAACCAGCCACATTAAGCTATCAGTATCTGACAGTAAATTGGAGAGGAAATTTTGTTTTATCTGTATCCTACAAAAAATTCCAAATTATCAACACTTAAAATATCCTCTCATTCCAAGTTTGCACCTTTGTCCCTTTTTCCAGCAACCTTCTTTTCAGTCAAATAGTCTCAGTCATTCTTTCCATCTCACCAGTGTGAAAATATTATCTGACTGCTTCACAGCTTTTCAGTTCTCACACACTATATTTATGATTCTTTCTAAAAAAACAGTAGCACAAGGAAAAAACAATAATTATAATGTGTACTTGATCATCACAGTACCACTGAAGTGCTCTGTTCCTCTGATCCTAAAGCGTTTGCTGATACTGTCATGAGGGTCTGTCCAGTAAACACAAATAATACTTACAGACAACATACTGCTTCTCATAATTTCCAATACAAAATGGAAAAAGTATCCCAGAGAAACAACAGGAGATACTATTTACAATTTAGGTCAAAAGTATCACAAAAAACACATCATATTTTAACAGACAAAAAAGAATTTATCATTTCCAGGTTAGCCAATTCAAACAAGTACCAACATAAGCCAAGAAAGGAAGTTCAAAGAAGGTGTATCCACTCCCACCCCTAAAAAATGCTGGAAAACTGGGAACAACAGATAAGGAGAAGGCTGAGGTACTCAATAACTTTTTTTTTGCCTCAGTCTGCAATGGCAACCTCTCTTCCCACACCTTGCAAATGGATGGACAGCAGGATGGAGACTGGGGAAGCAAAGTCCCTCCCACTGGAAGTAAAGGTCAGGTTCATGACCACTTGAGGAACCTGAATATACACAAGTCTCTTGGGCCCAGTGAGATGGAAGCAAGGCAGCCTATAAAAAAAGAGAACTGCTTCTATTGGACAAAGAGATACACTTTTAGGATATGAGTTGAGCCCATTATTTGTTGGGGTTTTTTTCCCCACAACTGGAATTATAAAATATACTACCCATTTTACAATGATCTACTGTTCCATTAACCATGCCATACAAGTTTATCATTCCTTATCTGATAAAAATAGCTGGGTATCTTTAATAGGCTTTCACCACATATATTCAAAACTTGCTTTTTTTTCTATCAAGCATCAACTCAATTATTTCTGTACAGACTAACAAAGACTAAAGACCTTTTCCAGAATGAGAGTACTCTCTATAGCAACTGGAACACAACTGTAGAGGGCATCATGGTCTACTAACCAAAAGTCATTCAAATAGTGAAAAAATGTTTAAAGAGACAGGTTAACTAATATTTAGAAAATAATCTTTTAATCAACCTCTGTAGTCAATGCATTCCAGGGTTTCACTACCCTGATGGTATAAAATGTTTCTTTTGTATCTTATTGGAATATCTCATGTTCCAATTTGTATCTGTTGCCCTTGTCTTCCCACTGTGACTGTTTTCCCTGATATTCCCGTATTATGTTGTTTTACCCATCCACAAGATCTGTCCTTTGCCTTCTCACAGCTGAAGAAACCCAGTCAGTCTCCCTGTACATCATGCAGTTCAGCCCCACTCACACCGCCGGTCATCTGTTGAATTCACTCCACTACACCAGTGCCTTCCCTGTATCTTGTGTTGTGGCTCCCTACAGACAGCACTCCAGATGTGGTCTCAAGTGCCAGGGAGAGAGAAAAAATCATTTTCCTCGAGCTGCTGGCTGCATGCTAGCACATACAGCCCAGCATACAGCTACAGAAATTCAAAAAACTTGGAAGATATTCCCTAAAGATATCATGAAGAACTATTTTTTTCTTCCTCTCTTTCTTACAACTTATAATAATTTGTCTCCTGTTGTGTCTCATTAATAGAGAAACTGGATTATCAGGAGACAGATCTAGTTCAAAAGAAAATCTCTTAAATGAAGCCCTTAAAGGTTAGATTCATATAGTTTAATTAGGAAACTGAGCTCCTCGTTACCATAGTAATTCAGAAAACATTTGAAGTTTAAATTAAAATACTTGGAATTAATTCCTCTCCAGTGTTTAACAGTATTTGCACTAGTTGACCAAAAAGGTTACAAAGAACATTGATTTTCTCAGAGCAACACTAAGTAAACTCGCATTATTAGCTTCAAGATTCAATCGTGAACTTTTAAAAAACGTGACTCTGGTATATCAAGTCCATACACATCAGCTACAAATGCCAGGCTGCAACTCACATTTGAAAAGGAACTACTTCAGTGGTGGAAAAGCCTTCCTTCATCTGACAGCTATGAATACGGATTCCCCTCCCCCTCCCCCAAAATGTTGGAAATTAAAAGCAACATGCACAGCTGGACAAAGTATAGTGGATTAGCACTTTTCAGACAATCTTCACTATCTCATTTGTAGAATCTTATAAACTTAGGACTTGAAGATACCTCAGAGAAGTCACCTCTCCATCTTCCTAACATAAGGATGGATCAAAGAATCTTCAAATACCATTGTAGTTAAAAGCCTTTAATATTTTTCAAATCACTTTATCTCTTGCATTTGTAATTGGAAGAATTTTCTTCACAGTAAGAGATCTAGGTGAGTTGAATAAATTATTGACAATTTACTTCTCTTAGGGTTTCATGAATACAAAAGAGTTCTCTTACTTATTTCAGCTCACTTCTCACCTTTCTCAATCTCTACTCAACTAAACACATAATTCTTTCAAGCCAATGCAGACTGCCCTCAAAATACCCTTTGGCAGGTTCTCTCAGCTTGACAGAACCAAACACCCTCTCTCCATCAGACACCCAGTCTAAACAACCACCTACAACGGTGATACTGTGCAAGGTGATCTTTGTGGTTCGTAAGAAAAAATACAGTCTGCTTATTTATACCCTGTTTTGCTTGTGTGCTTATTCAAAAGTCACATTAACGCGAGTCGAAAATATTTGCAGTTAGAATACAGCTACTGCTACTCTTTTACAACAGTTACGGCACAATAAAGGAATAAATCATGTTAGTTCCATGTGATTCTTTTTATAAAATCCATTTTGGCTACTTGTCTTTGCTAATTGTCTATTATATGCTACAGGTATCAGAGACAATTTGGTCCAGTGACTTCCAGAAGTAACCATTTTGCATGATAGTAGAAAAATAAAATAATATTTATCATCTGGAAAGTCACCCAAAAGAATTGTCAAAAACCTCAGAGTCAGTTGCTCAAACACTTAAAATAAAA